GTTTTTAGAGCTTTTTCTGAAATCAGAAAGGTTTCCTTATATTGGCGCTTTGGTTTCATGCACTGGATTGCAAAGTCACTTTGAACCACAAGGTCAGTAGTTCAAACTCACCAGCTGCTCCTTGGAAACCCTATACAGGGTTGCTATAGGTTGGAACCAACTCAATGGCACTTAATGACGTATGCATATAGAGTAACTGCTCAGAAGAAACCTTGTTAAAATGTTGGTGCATTTTTATTATTTTTAACAAGTTCGTTTGAGAAGAGAAGGTTTTCTTAGGTGTATTATCTCACATCCATTTCTAGACAAAGAAGCAGGAAGAACATTTGCTCAGGGGCTCCTAGACCCTCCATTCTTCAAGGTGCTGTAGCCTGGCTACCCTACCCACCCGCTGAGTCACTGGTTCACAGAAGTGAGATAAAGTCATGAATGGCTGTAAAAAGTTGTGTCCACCTGGGAAGGCCCCACATGAGCGCCGAGAGCCAGGCTTCACTTAAGTGCCGTTGAGTCGATTCTCATAGCGACTCTGTAGAGGGTGTCCAAGGAGCAGCCGGTGAGTTTGAACCACTGACCTTGAGGTTCAAACTAACCTTGCAGTCCAGTGCTTATCCTACAGCACCACACCAGGATGCCTGTTCTTTTTTTTAACCACCAAGCTTTATGGCTAGTTCACATTCAGAATGTTGGCTAGTCTGAGTTTTCCCCTCCACCCCAAACAAGGACACAATCAGAAGAGCTTTTTACATGAAGGGAGGCGTTAAGAGAGTCTCCTGAGTCCTACTAGGCATTTTAGAGAACAGATCTTGGAGTGGAGGGGAAGAGGAGGTGGCTGGGGTTGACAGGACAGGGAGGAACGGATTCTTGAGTATTCCGCATTAGTTCTGATTTCAGGGACACATGCAACCAGGAAGGAAGTCAGCTGCCAAGCTGCCTCACAACTGAGTTTGATAAGAGGAAGTATTTGAAAAGCTATCAAGATGACAGTCCTGAGTTTCTAATAACACACACACACAAACCAGAACAAGTTTTTTTTTTTTTTTTTAAAAAGCCTTTATTTATCAACAACTGAAAAACACTAAATTATCACAACTGAAAAACACTAAATTATCACAAGTGACAATCTTCTTTGAAAACCAATTTACAACAGAATCCATTATTGGAGTACATACAAGACTTGTCCATAGAACATTCTGGCAAAGTTCCTGAAGCCCTGTTGCCTTTCTGAGTCTCAGTAAACACTGCAGATCAGCTGAGCTTGGATGTTGTTGTTGTGTGCCGTGGGGTCGGTTCCAACTCACAGAGACCCTGTACAGGGTTTCCAAGGCTGTAAATCTTTACGGGAGCAGAAAGCCTCATCTTTCTCCCACGGAACAGCTGGTAGTTTCAAATTGCTGACCTTGCAGTTTGCAGCCTGATTCGTAACCACTACGTTACCAGAGCTGCCTGGCCTTTCCACTAGCTGATCTATCAGCTCCTAGATGTGGGTAGGGCAATAGGGCATCTAAGCACATCACCTGCAAGTTTCTTCTACCTCTAAGGGTCTAAAGCATAGCTTGAGTTGATTTTGGAAGGTTGTCATCTTCTCTGCATCTTTTCTCCTTCACACCGCCACTCTCTCCACTGCAGACACCAGCAGTCTCACCTTCCACACTTTCCCAAAAGAACTAAGAATGAACCCCAGCACACTGGCTTCCAGTGAGCTGTGTGATGGCCCATCTGTAGCAGCTAAGGGGGGAGAGCATCAGGAAGCATCAATGCAGGTCGGCCTCAAAACCAGGATATGTAACAGAAGCAAGTTGCAGAATGATACAACTGTAGGTTGACCTTACTGCAAAATCTAAATAACACAAGCTGCAAATTATTTCGGGAGACAGGTGACAAAAATAGCCATTTTAAGGAACCTTGTCAATTTCAGAAAAATAGCCACCACTGGGGAAAGGAAACATTATTATCAGAGAAGAATGAAAAGGAGATTTGAACTGCATATTTTTATTAAAAGGAAAAAAACCAAACTCCTGACAGAAGGGCACACATAAAAAAGTCTAAAATCTTGACCTGCTCTGAATTGGGCCTTGTCTCAGAGTCGACAACCATCACTCTGTCCTCTGACAGAAGCCACAGCCTATAACTGAGACCCCAGAGTTGTCAAAACCCAAACCCTAGGCACACCTATCTGCAGGTTAAGTTAGCCATGTTAGCTGCTCCGTTCACTTTCTTTCACAATGGATCTCTTTCCAGTTCATCATAACCTTGGCAAAAAACACAAGAGTTGTGGCTGTGTCTTTCTGGGTTCTTTTTTCTAGAATGACCAACCATTCCTATTTTGCCAGGGTCAAGGGGGCATGAAACTTTCCATTTTAAATGAGTTGGTCAGCTGAGTTCTCCACAACACTTTGACAGTGCTTCAGAAAACAACAATTACTGCCTAGAGAATGAGAAGGAAACCAGGAAGCCTCTGAGACGTAGACATTTTCCTGCAACCCAAAATCCCTGGGCCCTGTGAGGGTCTGACCACTCACGGCATCTTCCGTGAAAGCAACTGAGCCTTCAGAAGCTAGCCCCATGTCATAAATCAGGAGTGAGGCGACCATTCCTTCCCAAAGTTGGGAGACCGCTAATGGGGTTCTTGACCCTGATGATCCCACTATTGGTTCATCCCCTAGCTTACACTCCAGTCCCTCACCATTCAAAAAGGTCAACTTAAATGGGCATGAAGAGGAAGAATGGGGAAGTGACAGGCAGACTGACACTCTCTGGAGGATATCATTCCATTTAAAGAGCAGCACAATATTAAAAGAAAAAACTCACAAGGGCAATTAAAATCACGATAAATAGACTTCTGCGAGCCCGCCCCCCCCGGCCCCACTAAGGGTATCTCTGGAGTTTGAGGGGTTATGGGGGATGGACTATGGATCAGTATTCTATGCTGGGACCTTCAGTGCCTAATGTCTTCACTTCTTCTCAGGATAATATACCCCAAAATACTGCACATCTATAAGATGTATAAGCCACTGCAGTTCATTCAATAAACGCACTCTGGGTGCCTAATGAATGACCTTAAACCATACTGTTGGTGGTTGCTGCGGGACTCTACTATGCCTCTAAACAGAATGAGGTAAGTCTATAGTCCCGTTATGGAGCGATGTCCAACAAAAATCATTAGATTAAAAGAATCCTTCATGAAAATGTTCCTATGAATTTGAGGGTTTAAAAAAACAACTTTCTGAATATATATTCAAGATACGTGAAATGTCTGGAAGCATAAAGCTGTGGAGTTGTGGGCACTTCAAGGGAGAAGGACTTGGAATGGGAAAAAAGGGAGCTGCTTCCTTTTCTTTTTTTTAGCTTTTCTGTATTGTTTACATTTATTATAATTAATATATATGATTTTATATTAAAATTCTGTTAACAATGAAAAAACAAAATCAAGTTCTACCTTCATTGCTTGCTAAGTTGTAACCCACTTGATGAGGACTGTCATTGGTTGATGTAAGCTGTAAGCATTTAACAAAGGTTTGCCGAGTTCTGCATATACGTGACAACTGTTCTCAAGTCTTTCATTAAGCCTGCAGGTAACAGCAATTTCTTTTCAATATGAGAAAAGTTTTGGGACTCTACCATCACAGTCTGAGGATCTATACGTTTTCAAAATAAACAACAAATGTGTAAGTAATCAGATTTACTTAAACAAGTGGAGAGCTTTATGATTCTATAAAAAAAAAAAAAACATATTTAGAAAAAGCCTAGTAATTTTAAGGTCCTGTCAAACATGAGGAAGCATATAATATACAAACATAAGCAAAAACAGCACACCGATTTTGCAATTATGCAGCAAGTTTTAAATCCTGTCATCATTTTCCTAACAGAGTTCACCAATTTGTAAACCACTGGCTCCTCCTCTTTAGTGTTGCCATGGGTAACAACTGAAACCAAACACAATAGGCAGGATAAGAGGGGAAAGATCACAGAGTTTCAAAAATATATCTTTTGGTACTTGGGCTGTTGGTTTTCTCTCTCTCTCTCTTTTTTTCTTAAGAAAAATATTGTAGCAATAAATTTATGAAGAATGACAGACCAAAAAAAAAAACAAAAAAAAAATTTTAACCAGCCATTACTACCTGGTGTGGCACTGTGGGTTAATGCACCAGACTGAAAAGCCATTTGAAATGCAAGGTCGGGGGTTCAAGCTCACCAGTCACTCCTCGGAAACCAGGGTCGCTATGGATCCGAACCGACTTGGCAGCACTTAACAACAACTATATTGTAGGACCAACAGAAATGTCCCACCCAAGGTAGCCCTAATGCTTTTTGGCTCAAGGGAATAGCAATAGAGTCTACCAAATGGCTTCTGGGAGAGCAGGAGAGAAAGTAAGTGGAAGGCAATGTCAGGGGATGTGGGGGGAGTGGGAAGACACCCATATTGAGCAGGAAGGGAAGATGGGCCAGTCTCTTGACCCAACCACTGAGGCAAAAGAAGCTGTTTCCTTCTGTGAGCAAGCATTTTTCCATCAGAACTGCAGCTCTTACATATATTAGCAAGTTTCTTCTGTGAGCAGAATACACTCAGATTTAGATTCTACTTCCCTGAGAAATGGCACAACGCTAATTCTAGTTAGAAGTCAATACTGTGACGCATGTCTTCTCAGTCCTCAAGCAAGAAATAATCAACAAATTATGGAGTGCACAGAAGTAAATGTAAACACAGGATCTGGTCGGTGTTCACAGTTATCACTGATGATGGGTATCTACAGAAGACGGACACCATCCAGATGTCAGAGTTGGAAGACTACCACTCCTTCTGGAATCATAAGCCCATTGTGAATCAGACACATCTGAGTTTCTAGACATATTCTTGCTGAGATTCTCTTCAACTGCTGACCTGAAGCCCCCATTTCCAAGTTTCTCAAAAGAAAAAATATGTGTGTGTTCACACCAATCATCTGTTCTTGCCATAAGTCAGATATTTACAATGAGGCAAAAATCACTTGTCTTGAAATGCTTCATTCTTGAATGGAGGAGTGACGAATGGATCTGTGATAATCCTCTGGACTGGTGATGTGTTCAGGTAAGTCATAGCTCCTGAGTAGATGTCCACTGTTTTGCTGAGCAAAATAAAATAGCTGCCTGGCTAGTAGAGGTTCAACCTTTAATAAGAGATTTAAAAGGACATTACTGAGATATTCTTTTTAACTTCCTGCAATTAGCCTATCAACTGAATAACTCTCAATACCTAAGGGCACAGTAAAGATAAGTCCAAAGCTTAAAGTTATAGCACATCAGAGCACTTCATATTTGGATCCAACTGAAGAACTGAAAAATTTTTTTTAGTTCCCATATACAGCAATCTATAAACAATATATTTCATTTGAGGTTAAAATAAAGATGATGCTTTTAAATTAGCTATCATTTGAAATTTACATTTAATTAAGATCGAATCAAATCAAGTAAAATGATCAAATAAAAAGGTAGGCTGAGGTAAACTTCAGAGTGGTTTTGGCCAGTTAATATGCTTTTTCACAACTACAGTTTGATAAGGATATGGGTTCATCTTGAACACTTAAGATTCCTAGAGGAACCAGATGATCTACATTTCTAAACCAAAGCTAGAATCGAAATGACAGGACAATTAAACTGCTATTGTGGGAACAGAGACAATAATTAACCCCAACTTTATCTAGTCTGGTTATCAGTGTTGACCACATTCACCAGAAAATCAATTACCATCTAGCTTTTCCTGAATTCACAGTATCTAAGAAAACTAAAGGTTAAAACTAAAAGTCAATCGATTATGCTGTTGATGTGTTTGTGATGTTGAACCTTTAAGCATCACTCATATTTAAGGCATTCTCTTAACATTTTAGGTACCCGAAATGACTTAAATCCCAATGAAAATGAGTCAGACTCATTTTCAAGGGAGCCTAGTCTGGGGAACCTATTCTTGTCTTAGAAGAAAGCTACTGCATCCCAAAATAACCTTAAAATCTGCTTGATGCAAGAATTTATCACCAACGTCTTAAATCCTACTTATCACCTTCAAGTTGATTTAGTCACTTCTCAATCCCTCCTTGTTAACAACTAGACATACTGGAGGGAGTCCTCGTGGGGTGATTTAGGATAAGTACTGGACCAAAAGGTCAGTTTGAATCGCTAGGTAAGTGGTTCAAACTCACCAGCCACTCCTAGGAAACCCTATATAGGATGGCTATGAGTCAGAACAGCCTCAACGACACTTAACAACAGAAACACAGAAGAGGAATCATAAGAAAACTCTAAAGTCTATGAGATTATATATTTCTCTGTTTCTTGGTTGGTTTTCTTTTTGTACAATCAAGATGTGGAAGAGGTTGTGTGTTCAGGAATAGAGAGTGTTTGATTTTAGCTCTCAAGAAGAACTGTTCTTGGCTAAAATTTGAGCTGAATTTTGACACTATCTATTGTAATTTTTCTCCCTACAGCTGCTCACTACCTGGGCCCATTAACTCTTAAAGTGTATTTAAGTATCAATGTAAAGTTTTAAAATCCAGAAATCTTAAGTATTCAAGATTATTTTCTACAGTTCATTAATGATAAATGTTATTTACATAAACCTCTTTTCTCTCATAAGAAAAAAAAGTGTTTATTTGCCATAGTTGAACTCATCTCAAATAATTTTAGCAAACATTATGGTGGTTTGATAGTTGTGGCAGTTCAAACCCACCAGCTGCTCCTTGGAAACCCTATACAGGGTTGCTTTGAGTCGGAACTGACTCAACAGCGCTTAACAACAAACAGCAACATTAATTTCTTAAAAATTCAGAAAGAAAAGAGGAGTTGGGAAATGGATGAGACATACAAAATACACAAGTCCCGAAATGGGAAAGTTTCTTCATCAAATCAAAGTCAGTTATGAATTGGAGTTGATTTTGTGACTATGGGTTTAGTTTTTGTTGTTCATTCAGCCACATTTTAAAAGCAATATGCAACCTGAAGACATTCAAAGGAACAATTTTAGCATCAATCCTTTTAAATTCCTGTACAATGGTAACATGGCAACACCCTTAAGAGGACAGGGCAATGGGAACCAGCAGTTCTCAGTCCCGCCCAGGTCCTGTGAGTGGCTCAGGGCAGGGAAGGGGTATTCTCTGTGCTGAGTTCCTGTGCACTATCTGCCCTACCATGCTTTCTCTTACCCTATTTTACGGGGTTAAGTTGATTCCCCACACCACTTGACATTTAATTTTCACCCAGGACTTCTCTCAGTGGGATTTTCCCTTAGCTAAGAAGTAACCTGAACCTTAAGGGACACTCACGTGAGCAGTGATAAGCTTCCTCTGCCTCTGAGGGTCTGGGAACTCTTCGCCAAAGCACAGAGTCACCTGGAACCTTGGGAGGGAGCGTCCATGAAGAGCAAATGCTTGTAGCTCTGAGGAAATGCGTAAGAAAAGAACCAAGCTCAGAAACCGTACAACGTTAAACATACCAGATAATAGCAAAAAATAAAAATAAAAAACCCAAGAGCTTAATGTGGATTCTGACAACAAAAAGGGTCATACGGTATGCACTTTTTATTTCCCTTACAGTGTGCTCTAAAACTGTATGTACAGGTTCATATGTTTCATTTGACTCTCAACAGTTAAGGTGACCGAAAGATTAAAAAAATACTGCTTTGCAGCATTAGACCTCCGAGGATGAAAAAGATGGCAGAAATAAGAAAAAGAAGACTAAATGTAGCCATGTTAAGGGAAAAGTACATTTATAGAAAGAAAGAAAAAAAACCTCATTTAGATAAAAATCAGAATTTTCTGATCTGTCTCAGGATTCTTTTCAAATCTCATCCAAAGCCACTGAACTGACACAAGCCAGATTCCAGGCTTATGTGCTACACCTGACATCTGTAATACCATAGAGAATGTCCTAGAGAAACCTACTAAGTACACACCGTTATTCACAGCTGTGTCCCCCACAGGGCACCAGCCCACACTCTTTAATTCTAAATGGACTTTTCACCCATCATCTGGGATGGGAGGATGATTTGAGAAGAGAAAGACAGTGAACAGGAACAGCCAGCACCTCCTCTTTGGAGTCATATAACAGAGGCAGGAACACTATTGGGGAGGCAGGAGCTATGATGCTGATCTAGATTCCCCTCACCCACATTCGAGATGACGCCTATGCCTCTAGCTGTCCCTGCTGTTTATGTAGTCTAAAATATCATGTCCCCAAAGAAATAGGCGCTGGAGCTCCTGTAAACAGCAGTGTGACGCATCTGATAAAGATCAGATACACACTCTCCGGCAACGCCTTTTGGGGCTGTCCCTAGTCGTCTGCAAATCCTGAATGGGTAGATATCAAAGGTTTCCACCGTCTTCTCCAACTGAAGAAACAATTCTAGCTAATTCACTTGAGTATTTGACTTCCTGCTCATTTCTTCCAGAATTGAAATCAAACAACAACGTGGTTAGAAGACGTAAAAAGCATCCACACTACCGTGATACCGTGAGACCACATTCCCACAAGTGGATCAGAGTGGAGAGTAGGAAAGTTCACTGGGAGTTCTTAAGTACCCAAAAGCTGCCCTGAACAGCTGGACTCTTCATATATTCACAGGGTCACCCTTGAGCCTCAATGAATATTTTGAGGTAAAGTTTGCAGAGAGAGGAAAAGAACACATCTCTTGCCCAAAGATAAATGCTAAAGTTCAGGCAAGTGACTCAAAAACCAAGGACCCTCACAAGTTGGTTCCCTGTCCTTCTCCCATCTGCTGGCACCATCTCTCTCAAGTCATGTGGCTGTGACTCAAAGGTACCTGCTACCTAAAGAAGCTCTGGTAGCACAGTGGTTACGAGTCAGCCTGCCAACCTCAAAGTCAGCAGTTCGAAACTACCAGCAGTTCTGCAGGAGAAAGATGTGTTCTGCTCCCGTAAAGATTTACAGCCTCAGTAACCCTGTGCAGGGTCACTATGAGTCGGAACCAACTCCACAATACTTAACAACAACAACCTACAGTTAGAATGGGGGAGATCAGAATACATTACATGTGAATAATGAGAGAGAACTCCATTTATAATACTGAAAACACTCATTTTCCTGGAATGCTGCCACTAAAGCCCTGAGTTACTAGACACAGAAATCATCCATGTACAACCACTTTCCATGTGGCGTGAGACCTTCCTGGCTCCACAGGCTAATCCAAGAAATACAAATGGCACTCACGAGTCCTCAGGCTTTCCCAAACTCCTCCCTGACACAAGCCCCAAGCCCACCCAGAGCAAAGGGATGTTCCTAGCAGATGCTCGCAATGCCCCATTGTAGGGTGAGGAGCTCTAGGGACCTAGCCCCCTTCACTATGGAGCTGCCATAGGAAACCAGATTCCTTCCCTCTCTTTCTAACATCTCAGGACATGTGTTTGGGTCATCAAAAGAGGATTGGATGAGCATTAGCAAATATGGGGAATCAAAGCCTAAAAGATTGAACACATGCTAATAGTGTCAGAGCACAGAGATGCTTCATGGTCCTGTTGTAAACAAATTAAACCCAGAAATGCTTTGGACGAAAGGGACGGGTCTGGGGAAACAAAGGTGGTGGGCGTGTCTAAAGAAGGGACACCTAGGAGGAGGCAGAGGAAGAAGAACTAGAGGCTGGCTTATGGGATTGCCTTTTCACCTCTAAAGATGGCTCTGGTAGCTAGAGCACTAGCTCAATCCTCTGCATTAAGCTTCAGAAATGACACATCTGGTGTCTTTACAAAAATCAGCTCGGCTAATTTAACTGTCATGAAATCAACCTAGGAAAACAAAACGTATTGGTTCTGAAAACTATTATTGCTTGTTGTTGTTGAGTTGGATTGAGTGCTGTTGAGTTGGGTCCAACTCATAGAGACCCTGTATAGGATTTCTGAGGAGTGGCTAGTGGGTTTGAACCACTGATCTTGTGATTCAAACTGACCTTGTGGTCCAGTACGTTATCCTACGGTGCCACCCCAGGAAAATATGATTAGAAACAGTTATGCCACACAGACACCTCAAAGCATCATTTCCCCTTTGCAAAATCAGTTCGACACACTGTATCTTTGCTTCCATATGAAAGAATGATACATCTCATAACAAAGATATTTATAATATACCTCTAACCTTTACTATTTTTCTAGGAGTCTAAAAATATCTTAAACATCAGCAGATATGCTTTCTGAGGTCACACCTCGGATAAAATGGAATCTTATTAATCGGTGTGGCACTGTAGAACAAACAAGGCTGGTTTGAACCGGAGGTCAGCAGTTCAAATTCACCAGCCACTCCTCGAAAATCCTATACAGGGCTGCTATGAGTCGGAACCAACTCAATGGTACTTAAAAACAACAATTTGTTGAAAGGGAGCACAGCAGCTTTGTAGATGAACACTGGACTACGAACCACAAGGTTGGCAGTTTGTCTACCGGCTGCTCCTCAGGAAAAAGATGAGGCTTTCTGCTCCCACAAAGCTTTATAGCCTTGGAAATCCTACACAAGATCACTGAGTCAGACCCAAGTCAAAGGCACTTAATAACAACAATTTGCTGAAAAACAGAATTTGACAAATCATTTTGGAAAGCATCTGGACAATCTATTCTGGATGTCTGTTTCCAGACATGGAGGCAGCTGGTAGGACAACACAGTGGCTAAGAGCTGAGCCAGAAAGAAAACTTGTTGTGGGATCACGACAGAAGCAGGCATGCCTTAACTACCCAGTTTTCCCAAACCACGGTCTTTTTGGTCACTCCACATGCATGCAAAAGCTGGCCAGGGAAAAGGAGAGAGAGATGAATTGATGAGTTTCAGCTATAGTATCTGTGAAGACTCCTGACTAGGCTTGAGGGGTGGCCAGAAGCACTCTCAGAATGCTTCTCATAAGCAAGGGTGGTGAGACTTTGTCTTACTGACTTTGGACTCATCATCAGGAAGGACCAACCACTAGAGAAGGACATTGGGTTTGGTAGCCCGTGAAAAGGAGGGGAAACCTCGAGGATTTGGGTTGATAACAACAGTCACACTGCAGACTCGGATACATCAATAACCATCAAGAGCGCGTAAAGACTGGTCAGCATTTCATTCCTATGTAAGGTTGCCACATGTCAGAGAAGGCTTGGCAGCATCTAGCAACAACAAAAGCAACCATCTTCTCTTTCAGACTGATAAGTGATAGGCTACTGAATTTTATCTACCTGATAAGAACTGCTGAGTATCAAAAAGCTTGCAGGTCTGATCTCTTTCCAGCTTGTTGGGCCGGTCACTACACAGGGCCAGAGGCCCGTCCCAGTAGATCCTGCTCTGGCAAAGTCTTTTGGCATAGAGCCCATCGGTGGCCATCCAGAGAACCACACCCCTCTCCAAGTGGCTCAGCAGTTTCTCGATGTTCTTTCTCTGGCCACTGTCCTCTGGATAGGGAAACAGAACCTGGTCCAAGTTGCTGACATCGTAGGTGTGCCCGTGGGAGATCCTGCACCCCTCAGGGCTCGAGGTGGTCAGCTCTTTCACCAGGATTTCCCGATAGTACAAACAAATGTGGAGCCGGCAGTCTAGAGGGAGAGAGAGAGAAAGAGAGAGAGGTTTCCAAGTTAGTCCTAACAGAAAGAGAAGCCATAAGACCCCTATTAACAATGCTGACTAATGTTACCAAAGTGGACCTTCTGAAACACTAGCATTGTATGCTGTGTCTATGAAGAAATACCAAGTCTCGTGGCCCAATCAGCTGCATGCTACATTCTCCTCTTGGAGATTTACAATGTGAGCGTGTTCAGATGTCACACCATAAGTGGATCTATATAACTTTTTTAACACACTATTTTCCTAATTTATACGGCCATGGATTCTTTTCTTTATTTTTCCATTCTTGGAAAGCATATCTTTCATAAATGTTCTACAAACAATGTTCAATTGGAAACAGAGCGCAGCATTCAAAAAGAGCTCCGTTGGCCATTTAAGATAAGAACTTAATAATTTTTTTGATGATAGTGATGACAACATTAATGTCTAAAATCCTTCACTGCTAAGACATGTAGTACCAAAGAAGAATTCATCCTGAACTACAGCAATCGATTTTAATTTTGGAGGAAGTAAACTCTAAGTATAGTTTCTACTAGCAAAAAATAATGTCAAGCAAACATGTCTAGGCAGTGAAAGTACCCTAAAATATCAATATGGAAAAAATAAAAATGACATATGTGAGCACAATGAAAGCTCTGATAGCTGTGGTGAGAATGTGATGTTTTTATTTTTCACTTTTGTTTTTCTGAGTTTTTAAAAGTAATTTTCTACACTGCCCATACACCATTTTTATAAGAGAATTAATTTTTGTGGGCAGAAATCCATGAGAGAAATACTCAAGAGTGCACACACAGTTCATGTGAAGTCTGTTAAAATCCCACTCTGTGTCTAATTTTGAAAATAACTCTGACACTGGCATTTTCTAACATTTTAAACTAGATGAATTCATTTATAAAACATGTTATTTATTTAAGGAACATCTTTATGATCTCACCTACCCTGAAAGATAGGTTTGCAAAGAGCTTAACTGGATTGCATATAAGCATCATGGGTTCCTAGTAATTGCATGAGACTTAAAAGTACATAGAACTGCAATTCTCAAGATAGATAGTTAATCTGTATTACAAACACAAAACAAAACAAAACCACAAAACCCTCTTATTCCTCAATGGCAGGTTTTGAGACTTAAACAGCCCACACTGTTGTCTCAATTCTCCTCTTGGCTCAGCTGCTGCGAACAAGTTCCTGAGGGCTCAGGTGGCTTTGTGGATGAGGAGGAGGTGTTGACCATTTGAGATGACATTCAGGTTCAGTTTCATTTCATTTAATGTCACCAGAAATCACGAGGTCACATGATATAAATAGCTGTTTATTTCCTACTCTTCAGGCACCCACGCAAGCTCTAGGTGCTCAAGAAAAAGGATTTGAAAGTTTCTAGAAACAAACACAGGCCTCTTCTCAGTCATTCATAAACAGCAGAAAAAGGCAGGGCATCTCAGGTATGACTTTGGAACTGGGAAGTACAATCCTGGCCCTTCTGTGCGTAAGCCAAGTACAGGCAACTCGTGTCTCCCTGAAATCTTAAGGTTTATTTTATGTTTCCTATTACTGATTTTTAAAGAGTGCACGGGCAAGATGAAAATTCAAACTTAACCTTTTCATTTTTAATACAAATCCCATTTAAAAATAGCCTAGAACATTGTCTAATACACTTAATACAGCAAATATGCTGAATAGGCCTTAATGCACTTTTTCCTGGAAGGCAATTGGAAAGCGTCATTAATAGAGCTTCAATGCTCTGTGGTGCAGGGATTCTTTTAGAAATGGAACTTTAACAAAATCAGGTTGAATCCATATTTGTTTACAAGACATATCAAAGTTTAGGGGAAGACCAGATAGTCATTCCTATTAGGCATATGACTGCTACAAAAAGAAAGAACCAGAGGTAATATCTGCAGAAAGGAGAGGAGGAAGGTCTGCTTGTGGCTAAGCCTAGAAGGACGATTAACTTTGAAGATGAGAAACCCAGTGCTTTTCTTAGCAAGTAAACTACACGGTGAGAGTGCTGGCTGAAGAGAAGCCCTCTGCGCACACGGGCTCATTCCTAAATACAGAACCTCGGTGCTTGTATGTTCCTGGGAATTCAGAGCACTGCGATCAATGAATTTAAAGAGAGGTAGCTCAAATAGTGTTTGGAATTGCATCACGGACTGGCTTCTGACTGGAGTGTGTTGTCACAATGCTTCAGTGAGTGTACTTCCTCTATGCCAACAGGCATGAAAGCAAGCACCCGCTGCCTGGTGTCATTGTGCCCAGGGACACCCTGCCAGGCACACCCGAAGACCCCCATGGGGTTGAAGGCACCCACTGTCCGGCGTCACTTTGCTCAAGGACACCCTGCCAAACTTGACTGACGATGCCCGATGGGCAAAGGACACAGGTTTCCTCCTGTAGTGTGTGTGGTCTCAGGGTAGGACACTCACCTGAGAGCGCCAAGGCTTCCGCAGACCTTATGCTTGGCTCTATGGGAATTCCAGGGGCCGGGGACTCAGGTGGGGCACAAGCATAAAAGGTTCCTGTTACCTGGCAACCTGTATTTGCAAATAAAAATCATATGATATCTTAACGGAGAGCCTACAACATGGGGAGGCTGCCTCACTCTGCATTGATGTGCACACCTAACGTGAGCATATACCTCTGTATGCCCCGTCCATCTACTTGCTCCCAGGGCCTACCACTCTCCTAGACTCTTCAACTGCCAGGCCAGGCTCCATTTCCATTTGGAGAAACCAAGATTGAAGGAGAAGTGAGCTGATTCACAGAATGACTGCTCTGGAAACCAGGCTCAGGGGGGGTAATGTGTCCCTGTCCACAGCATGTTCCATGTGATAATAGAGTCTGAGTTCTACTTAAATAACTTACTCAAAAGGAGCTCTGGTAGTGTAGTGGTTACTAGTTCGAAACTACCAGTGGTTTCGCAGGAGAAAGATGAGGCTTTCTGCTCCCATAAAGATTTACAGCTTTGGAAAGCCTACGCAGGGTCGCTATGAGTTGGACCCAACTCCACAACCACCACCACCACCACCAACTTACTCAAATGTTGTATGTTGCTATATTGAACCCACCTTGTAGGTTATTACTGCTTCTGTTTAAAGATCCCATTTAATGTCTGGGGAACTCCCAGGGTTTCCGAGGAGCAGCTGGTGAGCTTGAACCTCCGACCTTGTGGTTCAAATGGCTTTGCAGTCTGGCGCATTAACCCACAGCGCCACACCAGGGGATCCAACTCAAAGGCAGTGTGTTATTATTGAACCCACCTTGTGAAATGTCTCCACATTTAGTTAATTAGTGTTTCTACTCAGAGATCTCATTTGATGTCTGGGGAACTCCTTATGGGCATGAGATCATAAGAATGACCAAGTGTCTTTGAGTCTCAATACTAGTATTGGGCACCCTGTGGAGACTTATGTTTTATTCTGGTGTTTATTCATTCCCTTCTTATCACCTCTGATGCCAAGAGCAACTACAATGGGCATGTCTTCTTGGTTCAAGAGAAATGTACTTTCTCCCAGCATCCCTACAGAAGTTAGGCTTGGGCATAGCTGTGATGTGCCCAGTTCACAGACAGGCAAATAGAAACAGACTAATGAGAGAACATGGCCCTCAGTCAGCCTCAAGGGGCAATTTAAGAAGGAAGCCAACCCAAAGCTCATGATTAAAATTAGAATTTAAGATTATTCAGGTCAGATAAAGAACGGTAACCTTTAAATAACATTAACAACCAGCTGGGTGTTTCCTGTGTAAAGTGGAAGATTTGGCTTTGGGGTTAAACAACAAAACTTTGCTCACTGCCATCAAGTCAACAGAGACACCAAGGGACAGAGTAGAACTGCTCCCTGGGGTGTCCAGGAATATACATTTTGTGGGAGCAGGCCGCCTCACCTCTCTCCAGCAGAGTGGCTGGTGGGTCAAAACCACTGATCTTGGCTCTTGTGGTTAGCACTCCAATGCATAACCCACAATGCCACCTGGGCTTCTTGCTTTGGGATTAGGAAAGCTGAAATTGCGCCCGAGCCTTGACATTTTGGGCAAATGATTCACATTCTACAAGCTTTGGTCCTCTCCATTAGAAAAAGTGGGGTAACTTTAAGCTTCCTGGGACCATCTCTGTGACATTTATATAAGATTACACACAGGGAAGTGGCTAGCACTTCTCCTGGCACTAAGTCGATGCTCAGCGAACAGTGATTTCCTTCCTCTAAGAACCTTACTGGAGTCCTGGTGTGGAGCTGTGTGATAAGCACTAGATTGCAAGGTCAGTTTGAACCACAAGGTCAGCGGTTTGAACTTACCAGCCACTCCTATACAGGGCCGCTATGAGTTGGAACTGATTTGACAGTACTTAACAACAACAACAACAAGGACCTTACTGTCCCCTCTCTGCCAGGTGAGCTTTCCCCACCTGCCTTTGAGAAGAAGAACAAGCCATGTTATGCCTGGGAAGTCAGATGAGAAGAGACCACAGCTTCGTGGGAGCAGCTGAGGAAACAAAAAAACTCCTTACCATTTTCACAAGTGGGGCCTTGCCAGTGATGACCGCGGGGCCCAAACGTCACAGGACATTGGTAGGGAATTTCTGGGTGTGTCTGATCGGGGACATAGTCCCTCCAGCTTCGGTCATGGGGTGGCATCATATAGTTATGAACCTATAAATGGAACAAGAGGCAGCAGCTAAGATGAAGAACAATCCACTCAGCAACTAGCACTTTGTTGTCACTGGGAAAGGATGAACTTCTTTTATATCCTTCCAAACCCTAAAAGGGAATCTGTTATTTCGCTGGCAGTCAAAATACTGTTATCATTTGAAAAGACTTTAGAGTGAGTTGCTCATCACACTGGGTGGAAATGAGCCATAGGGTAATGGGTATATCTCAAAAAACACAATTGAGACGCTGTTATAAAGTTGTGATTTCTGAAAAGCTTTGTCATATGGTTACATCTGGCGCTAAAAATACTGCAGGAAAAAATGGTCTCCTTTTACCCACCACAGTGAATGAAACAGAGCCGTAATTCATATCAGAACAGTCTGGAGACATCAGCTGCTCTGTGGTTTCACATGAGAAATCACTACTTCCAAAATGTCCACCTTCCAGAAAAGGTCTGTTTCCCAGGAGATTTAAAAACCAATAGAGAAGTGTTTACCAACAGACAGACACACCTGACTGCCCTACTTGAGACTATTTGGATAGTGAGATAGTCATTCAGTGCTCACGCTTTGTGTGTGTGTCTGTTTTACTACATTGTAATAAAAACAAAAACAAACCAAGTATCATGCTGTGTGTATTTGCTCTTCCCCACTGTGGGGCTCACTGGCTGGCTTACCCCCTACCCCAGAAGCACGTTGACATCTGTCATACCTGAGATGGTAGTGAAGGATAGGGAGCTGCCATGGTGTATGAGTGACTCATGGTCATCTGGGGGTCCTCCAGGGTGAGTTGCTTTGCTCCTGAGCAGGCGGGGAAAGGGAAATAGTACAATTTGTGAAAAGGAATTGACATAATTAAAAGTCACATCTTAGAGAAACAAATGCTTGAGAGTTTAATTCCTAGAATGCATAGCCCATTGTTGACAAATGTGGGCTTTCAGCAGTTGCCGTGGGCAAGTATGCCCTTAAAGGAATTCTTTGAGGTCTGAGTTTGCAGTGCAGGTGGAGTATACAAGAAGCCTGCTGTGTGGAGACCTTCAGACCCACATACTCCACCCGTGAGACCTGCCGGAGTCATGGATTTCTGCATGGCTCATGAAGCAGCAGCCTGAGTTATCTGTGTGGCTGGTTTAGAATGTTCTGCACCTGACATACATGTTCAGGATCTTAGAAAGATCCTGATGTGTTCAAGGATCAAAATTCCAAGTCCTCAGTGGTGATTTCACACTCTAATAGTTGACATTTATAGTATAAGTAGTAACAATACAAGGATATATACTCACTTTCTATGCAATGGTTAATCACAAAAGACTGGCAGATAAGCAAAGTTTCCAAAGAGCTTTTCAGTTTTTGTTTGGTAATTTGATCCACATCTTAATAGAATTGACTAAGAGGAAATTGTATACACATGCACGTATACACACACACACAGAGGCAGAGAGACTTTGGAATCCAAGAAATTATCCTATACAAATATCATAAGAACTTCAACTTATGACTCAGAGAAAATGGGCAGTGGGCCTGTAGAGGCTGGGCATGAGGTAGGAAGCTTGCAGAAAGCAAATAATAATAATAATAATAATAATATATATATATATATTTAAAGAAAAAAAAAAAAAGGTGAACCCCTACCTCAGAAAGAAATTAAGGCTTTACAAGGTGCATGCTGCATATATTGTGACCAAAATTCAATTTATTTTGGAAGCCTTACCTTTTTTAGCTCCCTCAGGAACAATTCTGTAGACTTTGTACGGATCTGAAATATCCAGCTGGCTCCTGTCAACCAATTCCTCAAAATCATTGCTTTTGTTCAAAGCACATCTCAAACGTGTTTTCCAGGTAGGTGGGTCTGGCTTATCAATGCCTTCTCGGAACTTTCCTTTAAATAATGCCCAAGCCTGGTGAGAAAGTTTGCAAAGAAAAAGTTCAAATATGGGTCTTTAAAAAAAGAGTCTGGGGATTCTATTTTCTGAAGTAAATAATGGTGCTTAGGTGTTTCAGATTGAAACTGTTTCTCAAAAGTTGGGACAGAAAGACACCAACCAGGTGTCTCCAAGGAATATTAAATGACATTTCACTTGCGACCCTATCATTTTTCAGTGAAAAATCAACGGTGGTTTGAACACTCTCTGGGCATGAAGAAGTGCTTTATAAAAAGTGGAATGAGTTGCTGAGAACACCCAGAATTAGTATGACCCACCATCCAACGGTTTAAATAAATTTGACTGGAGCTAGGGACAGAGATGTGGAGGCGGGCGGCTGCCCACAGAGTCGTCCAGATGGTCAGAGATGCTGAAGTATCTGAGTGCAAATTCCCTGAGGAAGTCCCCTCTTCCCCTACTCTGCCCACAGGTGGCAGGGCCCGAATGCACAGTTCATTAGGCACAGAGACACACAAAGAGGGCAGAACCCAGAATGAGGTCCAAAGAAGAATCCAGAAAGTGGTTCAAACAGAAAGAGAGAAAAATGTCCAGAGAAACTCAGGGGGAGGGTAAAATAAATGAGTCATAGACACAGAGAGCTAGAGCAGGAGAAAAAGAAATGGAAGGACCCAAAGAGAGCTGAAATAGAGAGAAAGAGAGAAAGTGCCCTCGAGAAGAAAAGACTGAGGGAGAAAGAGAGAAAAAAAGTGAAACAGATAAAGACACACAGACACAGTGAAAGGAGACAGACAGACAGACCCATGGTTACTCCCTGAAAGGGAGGTACACACAGATCAATGGAAGGACAGAGAGATCTGAAAAAGTGGAAAGACAAAAACAGTCACAGGAAATAAAGGAACCCAAAGATACACCACCAGGAGTCCTCAGGGGTGAGCCCTCTTTTCGTCCCTTGGGAACCCCTAGAGACCCCAGCTTCTGGAGTGGCTGGATTTCCAGGGAAGTGAGCCTTTGATAATAATCCCCGAGAAGCTACATTCTGGGCTCCATCTCCCAAGGCCTAGGGCATGTCTACCTGAGGCTCCCTGCCAGTACCTCCACCTCACCCCATCTATCCAGCGTGTTCCCCGTCCCTCCCAGGACCTGCCGGTATCCCCATCACCACCACCGCCACCTCCGCTAACCCCTCCCGCTCTGCTCTCAGGCGTAGGCTCCAGGCGCTGGTGACCTTAAAGAGCGCGGCGTCCTCCTCGCGGTTGTAGTCCTGCTTGCCCGCGTGCTTCCAGGGGATGCGGAAGATGCTCTTCTCCTCGTTCTCCCACACCAGCCCGGGATACTTGCCGCTGTCAATCTGATCGATCAGCCACTGGCGGAGTTTCCCGTTGCCACAGCTCACGGAACTCATGCCGAACTCGCTGCCACGGCCGCTGCCCTCTAGGTTCATGCTCCGTCACCGCCGGCTCCGCTGCGCTCTCACCCGGCTGCAGGCGAGAGGAGCTGCCGGGGTCAGCCTCCGCCCCGAGGTCCCGGCGCCCCCCAGGCCAAAGGCAAGCAGCGGACCTGGCACCCTTCACGGACGTAAAGGAAAGTCCCTTGGCCATTGGGTGCGTACCCTCTTCGCGGGAGGGCGCACTTCCTCTGGGGCGCACGGTCCCGCAGCCACCAAGCCCACCCTCCCTCGTGGAGTCACGCACACCGCTGCCTCGAGGCACCCTTGCCACCTGGGGCCACCCGCTAGCGTAGGTGCCTGATGCACACAGCCTGGGCGCACGCAGCACTTGGACACTCACAGTGCGTTTGCACACGCACGTCTCCTTCCCACGCGTCCCTGGGTCCCTGGCCCTCTACCGAGTCATTGGTGAGCCACTGTCCCGGCCCACCCAGTTCCGCAGAGTTCTTACGCGCCTAGGACCTGGCAGTCGGGGCCCGCCTCTGACCCGGCTGCGGGCAGAAGAGCACCCCTTTTCTCTCCCTAGCCTTCTCCTTCTCCTCACGCCCTGCCCGAGAACAGCACTGGCTCCCACCAGCTGGAGAGGATTCGGTGGAGCAGCCTGGGGGGCTGCCCGGGGACCACTCCCCAACCCCAAGAAAGAGGTGCGTGGGAAGGGATCTGGGATCTGAGCCTGCGGGCCAAGGCTCCCACCCCTGAGCATCTACCACACTGTGTCCGTCCTTCCGTCGAGTGGCCCAGCTTCGTCCACTCTGGAGCCCAAAAGTCCCGTTAGCAGCATCTCTCTGCCGTCCCGAGCACGAGCTCCGCACTAGGTGGCGTCCCAAGTGCCCCGAGAAGTCGAGAGTCTCCCCGGACCTGCCGCAGACCCGGCGGGAGTCGGGGACTTCCCGAGTCCGGGATTCCTGGGGGTCCAACTTTCCCCGCGGGATGGGTTCCCGCGCCCCGCTGCAGTCAGAGCCGACCTCGCATCCTGCGGAGACCCGGGACCTTACCTCGCTCCTGGCTTGGAGCTGAGAGTGCTGTCTGGTTTCAAGTTCAAGTGGCGAAACTGTGAGGTTGAGGTGGGAAAGAGGAACTTTATAGCCTTGAAAGCTGCCTGGGGGCGGACCGGGGCGGGGCTGTCCCGCCCGGGGACGCTGAGAGGGGCAGGGCTGGCGCCGGAGGCCAGGCAGCCTTGGGGGGCGGTCCTTTGGTAACCTCGGAAACCCTCTGGGCCCAGGGTTCTGGCACAGGCGGATCGCGGTAGTGTCTTTTCCCGCGAAGAACTCAAGGCAAGGCGAGGCGTGCACCTCTGTTCTCAACCTGCCCGGAAGACCCTTCAACAACTAATCACAGCTCCTGGGACCGAAGCGACGTGAAGAGGGCGGGAAAGGGAGAGAGACAGAGACACAGAGAGAGGCAGTGTGTGTGTGTGTGTGTGGGGGGGGGGGGTAGGTGCAGGAGCGGAAATATGAATCCGAGGGGCTACAGCACTCCGCAAATATGAGAACTAGTCTATATCCAAAGACTGTGTGTGTGTTGGAGACCCTTCAGCGCACCAGACTCAAGTCGGAGGTGTTTAGAAAACATCGCACTCTTTGAAAAGTAAAAAAAGGAAATGGCCCAAATCCCTTGAGTCTATAAACTGTGGTTCAGATACAGTGCCTGCGTGTTTAGAAACGGGCACGTTCTTTTGCAGCTATTAAATTGGTAATCTGAGGTGACACAGACAATATGTAGACTCCTTAAAAGTTTCAGTTATTTCACCATTTAAGAGTTGGGAGGGATCCCAAAGTGTTTAAGTGCTTAAGTATTCCATACCTCTGCAAACTTTCAGTCCACACTATAACAAAAGTTTTAATCTCAACCTTTGAGAAAACAGTTTGTTGTTGGGATATAAATGTCAAAAACAGGAATACTATTTAAGTAGACATAGGATTTTATTTACATAATTTTCTAAGATGTCCTTAATATAAAAATTAACTCCCCATCACCGCCAACTGAACTTTCACTCTGTGATACTCATTTGAGGACCTTGAAAGCAGATGTTGATATGTTCTGAGCATGTTTACTTGACATTTTCAGGTAAACTGTCAGATCTTGGGTTTCTATATGATTTTAGAACACTACCACTTCTGACCAACTGGCAACTTTTGAAAAGCTTTTGATTTCACTTACTTCTCAGTTTTTCTTTTTATCTTAGACTTGTAGAGTGGGCCAATGTCTCTTCCCAAAGACCCTACCTTATGCTAGGCAAGAGACAATGAGATGCATACAAGTGTGCTTTTCCTAAAACCAATAGACCTTCTCAGAAATCAACAGGATGCCATGTTTTCATTACACCCAAGTTAAGTTTTCCATTATCAGAAACTATGAAATAAATAACATGGTTTTGTTCAAAGAAAAGTCTAGCCACAACCTGTTTTTCTTCTTTTCTTTTTCCTTTTGAGGATTCATTCCTTAAACAAATACTTTAGAGAAACCACTACTTGTCAGAAGTGTTCTTGGCACTTGGGGGCACATCAATGAACAGAGCAAAGAGCCTTCCTGCTTCATGTAAAAGGCAAATTCTGCTTTGATAAAATGTTCATACACATACAGAAGGGGATTGCTAAAGCCAGAAACAGTGCATTATAGCACTTCGCACTTTCAGACACATGTGCTCTACTCCCAGTTTAGTCAGCCCTAGTATTTTGCTCAAACAGCCACACCATCACCCTAAGCAGTCATACGAAATTTTCTGAGACTATACAAGTCAATTTCGTCTGAAACGTGGTTGCTAATCTTCAACGCCATCTTCTGGCTTATTCACTTGTCATATTGATCAACTAGAAGAGGTTTTTTTTTTTTTTTTTTTTTCTTTCTTTGCAAGATGAAGTGAATGAAAAGTATAAGATATTTTAACCATTAAGTGCTTTAGTATTCCTGAGGAACTTTGTGGCTTCTTCCCCTTGGGGACTGAAGGAAGTGGCCAGGTAGGTGATACCAGTGGCTCACCAAATACATCTTAGTCATAGTTGAACTAAAAAATGACAAAAAAGGTTTAAAAGTTGAAGTGCTTCCCTATACCCAGACTCTTGAAAAAATAAAAATATTGCTTAGTAAAGACTGTAGGTCTATTTCTCTTCAAATGACAGTTTGTTGAAAAGAGAAAACCAATAGGAGACAAGTCAATTGTCTCCTCCAAACAAAGGCTGATGATCATATTCTGTGACCAACTGTTGAAGTTCTGTGTGTCTGAATGGAGAATTTAAATTCACATTTATCCTAAAGAGACGGTAAGAAAAACTAAACTGACAAATCCAATATTGCAAAACTCAGTCTTTTAAAATGATACATCTATATTCAAGCAAAACACCTTAGAAAATCCATATTTCTTACTGTTAAGTGCAGTTGAGTCAGCTTTGACCCACAGCGACCATGAATAGGATCTGAGGAGCAGCTGGTGAGCTTCAACTGCAGACCTTGTAGTTCAAACCAACCTTCCAGTCCAGTGCATTCACCCACAGCGCCACACCAGAACTCCAGAAAACCCATACTTCACACACAGAAAATAAGTAATTAAAATCTTATTTTCTATGACACTAATTTCTCATGGGCGCAACCATACAGTGACAAAAAACTTCCAGAGGGTCAAGCCAGATTCAGATGAGGACATGTAACGAGGGGTATCATGGCTGACATCAGTTGGATCTTGGCTGAAAGCAGAGAACACCCGAAAGATGTACTTTATTGATGATGCAAAGCCTTTCGATTGTGTGGATCATGATAAACTATGGACAACATTACGGAGAATGGGTATTCTGGAACATTAATTGTGCTCATGAGGAAACTGTACATAGAACAAGAGGCAGTTGTTCAAACAGAACAAGGGAACACCAGATGGCTTAAAATTAGGAAAGGTGTGTGCCAGGGTTGCATTCTTTCACCATACTAATTCAATCTGTATGCTGAGCAAATAATTGGAGAAGGTGGACTGTATGAAGACAAATGTGGCATCCAGACTGGAGGAAGACTCATTAACACCTGAGATATGCAGATGATACATCTTTGCTTGCTGAAAATGAAGAGGAAATTAAAATACTTACTGATGGAGATCAAAGACCACAGCCTTCAGTATGGGTTGCATTTCAATGTAAAGAAAACAAAATCCTCACCACTGGACCAATAAACAACATCCATATAAATGGAGAAAAGATTGAAGTTGTCAAAGACTTCGTTTTTCTCAGATCAACCATCAACACTCATGGAAACAGCAGTCAAGAAATCAAACGACGTATTGCATTAGGCAAATCTGCTGCACAAGCCCTCTATAAAGTGTTGAAGAGCAATGATGTCATTTTGAGGACTAAGATGGGCCTGACCCAAGCCATGGTATTTTCAATAACCTCATATGCATGCGAAAGCTGGACAGTGAATAAGGAAGACCATAGAAGAATTGATGCATTTGAGTTATGGTGTTGGAGGAGAATATTGAAAGTAATATGGACTGGCCAAAAGAACAAAACAATCTGGGTTGGAAGAAGTGCAGCCAGAATGCTCTTTGGGAGCCAGGATGGCCAGACTTCATCTCTCATGCTTTGGACATATTATCAGGAGGGACCAGTCCCTGGATCATGTTTGGTAAAGTGGAGGGTTGGAGAAAAAGAGGAAGACTCCTCAGTGAGATGGATTAGCAAAGTGGCAGCAGCAATGGGCTCAAACATAGCAACAATTGTGAGGTTGGCAAGGGGTCTGGCAGTGTTTCAGTGTGTTTTGCATGGGGTACCTATGAGCAGGTGTGGACTGGATGCACCTAACAACAAATAACAATTTCTCACTAATTTTTAAGGGACAGGAGCTAAAATTTATTAAAAACACGACAATGATATTTTTCGACAAGTTGTACAGGATAATAGTTTTATTTGCTTATAAAAATTAAGAAAATGCTAAAAGTGTTTTGTTGTTTCTATGCAGTTGTTTATTTATGAGATCTGTGTCGTGGAATAGTCTCCAGCTGAAAGTGCACGCAT